TTGAGGTTGATATACGGTAAAACAAAACAAACCAAACCAATATATACTGAAATAGATAGATAGATAGATAGATAGATAGATAGATAGATAGATAAAAAATATTACATGCAATGAAAATCTTACCGATATTAACTAACCCATTGAGGTTGATATGCCGTAAAACAAAGCAAAATAAACCAAACCATCATTCTTATGATTGTTATTGTAATATTTAGTTAAAGTTGTTAATCTTAAATATTTAACGAGGCAATAAATTTGGGTATTTTATAGTCGTGCAAGGATTTTATTCAATCATTAGTTTAAAAATTAACAGAAAATTTAAATTCAAGGAACCTGAAGTGTTCCCAGATGTATTTTGCATACATCTTTCACAGTATTTGTTTGGATGAATTCTTTACTATGGAACTTAAACTTCATGAATTTAAGCGCAGTACTAGATTGGCGGTTAGGTCTCATCAATTCACAGTTAACTTAGCTCGGGGATGTATGCTCATTGGTCCTTTTTATTTCTGCCCCCTTTTTCTTTGGTTTAATCCTCCTTCCTCCCCTTTTAGGTGATCAGAGACGTTAGTTCTCTGGTAGATGCGGGGCGCCTTTCGTTTCGGGTGTGATTTTTGTATTTTTTGTTGTGACTGAATGAGTGTGTGTTTCCTTGAGTGCCTGGAATTAATGGATGTCTTATAGTATTAGTCCCGCATTGATTTCATCCAGTTAACTGATTTTTCTGCCACATTTAAGGATTGGCGGGGGGGGGTATTACTAATATTATTTTGTTTAATTTCTTGTAAATAGTTTTCTTTTCATAATATAAATAGACATTGGGGCTCGATTTTAATTTGTTTTATTTCACCTACCCCCCCCCAATACAATGAATTGTACATATGGGGACTAGTTAGGACATTCATAGAGACAATGAGGTATTATGGTGAATGAAGTGAGAATGGCAAGTAAGAATGCGTTGCTTTGGTGTTAGGAATATTGTTGTATGTTTGGGTCAGTGTTTGTGGCTAGTTAGGTTTAACGTTAAGACAGAACAAGACCGTCCTTTTCCCCCATTCCCCTTTTTGGCCTTGTGCCACATTTTGTATTTGTACACATAAATAATACTCTTCGCTGTGGAACGTAAACTTCGTGAATTTAAGCACAGTACTAGATTGGCGATAAGGTCTCATCAGTTCCCAGTTGAATTGGGCAGATGTAACCATAAGTTCTATGCTAACAGTTTCTTTTCTCGCACTTCTCGCTTGTGACACACACCTCCGGCTTCATACTTTCCAGACAATTTTGTTCCTAAAAAAATCAAATTTAATTTCAGGCGTTATTTACTCTCTTCTTGATTACACTCCTGTTATTCTCGGTAATTAATTATTTTTGTTTTGTTTTTTCTTATTCTTTCACACTTAGTAAGCATTTATGTCTTAGTGGCTTTAATGCCTTGCTATAAAAAAAAATTTTACCAGCAATAAAAATCTCGGCATTAAATAACCCATTGAGGTTGATAAGCCGTAAAACAAAACTAGATAGTGATTTTAAAAAAAGAATGTTGTTTTAAGATAGGTTTTCAAGACGTTATGTGTACCTAGAAATAAAAAATAATTGTATCGCTCTCCACAACAAACAATGAACCTTTTCCTTTTACATCTTGACATGCAGAGAGAGGAAAAAAGTTATTTTCGTAAACAACGGACGCTTTAAAAAATATCGCATATTAATTAAATGTGATTGGTAGTTCGTTTTACGCCATTTCGAATAACAGGGGAAAAAACTGTACTAATTTTGGTCTTTCATATATATGAACTAACGTAAAACAAACGTTCGATAGCTTAGGATACTTTCAGGCATTTAGAAAGTTTAGCTTAAGCACGGCTTGCCATATATCTTTAGACAGTGTTGTACGCGTTGCTGACTAGAGAGACATATCCCTCATTAAATACAAAAAAGTTCGTTATTCCGCAGTAGATAGATAGATAGATAGATAGATAGATAGATAGATAGATATGAACAGACTCACATAGATAGATAGATAGATAGATAGATAGATAGATAGATAGATAGATAGATACGAACAAACATCTGTATATCTATATATAGAATTAGGTTAGTTGCTGCAACTTACCGAATCCTGTTTATTTATTGAAGGTATTATTATTATTATTATTATTATTATTATTATTATTATTATTTTCTTTGATTTCTGGCGTTTACACATTTCTTTCCGGGTCCCGCCCAGGGACCTAAGGTTAGAAATGGCATCATGACACTTTCCACTGACAAAAAAAAATTACATAGATAAAGCTCTTCGTAAAATGTGGGCTGTATTTGTCAGAACAATTTTTTGGAACTCCTTAAGGCATGGACTTCCAGGAATCCCTTCAATTAGTCTACTGCAATCTTTTATTATTATTATTATTATTATTATTATTATTATTCTATATGCATTTACTTGGTACGGTGATATATTGGCCGTTTATATGTGAATCTCTAAGCTATTATGCGGGTAGATAAAATATGGCCATTTATATTCTTAGTTTATGAGCATTTACTAGATTTGAGGTTTACTGCAATTTCGCTACGGGAAATGCTGGTTCGTTTACGATCACCGAAGTTAAGCAAGGTCAAGTCTGATCAGTACCTAAATGGGTGACCGATTGGGAATACCAGGTGCTCTAAGTTTGCATGTAATGAATAGCGGCTCGTAGAGGTCTAGTTCCAGTTGGGTTCGTTATATTAACTTACGCTCAAATCCCTTTGGGAAAGCTATGAACCCACCTCTTCTCCCTCCAGCTATGGGTTAATTAGAAGGATCTGTATCAGTAAATCATTATTATCTCCAAAAGATTCTTAAAACCTAAGAACATTTTCTCAGCATTTTTTCTCCGCCGTCCAGCAATCTCATGTTTTGAATTTTCAAGACAGCGGCCCAAGCAGGAAATTCGATGCAGAGAAGGAAGTTAACTTGTCAAATTAATGTGCAATTTATAATTGACAGAGGTTTTGTTTTCAAAGTTTTTTCCCCTCCTTTTTTGTTTCATTTGCTTCTCCACTTTCAGGGCCATATTTGTTCGTTTGTTTCCAACTTTCTGAATTACTGGGAGTGTTAGTTCCCTGAGTAATATTTTATATACGAAGGCTCCTTCACCATCGCACAAACACGAACGAAGTGCTCAAATGACTTCTCAGCAATTTTTCCGGGTAAACTAACTCGGCATTTTAACCCTCTCACCAATTCTATACATTTCGTTCAGTTAACTTAGGATTTTTTCAATATCTGTCCTCAAGGACACATGGCACAGTGGATAAAGGCGTTGGTTAGATCCAGTAACAGGACCCAAAGAGTGTGAGTTCAATACTCGGTTAAGGCAGTGGAGAACTTTCAGAGGGAAAATTAACAGGAGATAACTGACATCCATTAAACATAGCAATGGAACTAGAAAAATCTACCCCAGTAAGCGAAATAAAGGGTTCAGTTCGACATTCCAACCACCTGAAGAAGGCCGGAGCGTACAACGACCGAAACGTTGTAATAAATATGGCGACGAAGATGAGGACAATAGTCTGAATAATGTCAGGATTTTTTTTTTATTCCAAAGTCTATCCTGTTTCTTCTCCAAAGAAATACTTTAAGCATTTTTAACGTCATGTCCGCTCAAGATAGATATGGCCATGACTTTCTTTGAATTCCCTTTGATTCATTTAGTTTTTCATTTGTGAATTCCCATAGCTTCTTGGTAAATATAGTGGAATGATTTCCCGTTGCCTTCAGCCAAGAATTTGAATCTAAAATTTCGCAAGACAGGCTCACAACCAAGGCTAGAAAACCGAGTTTACCTTGCTATTAATCCAATATCTGGTTGAGGATGAGCGAAACTAATGAATGCAGCTCGTCAGAACATTTCCCATGGAAATAGCGACAGACTAGTCAGAAGTTTGAAATAGATTTATGCTTTTTTTCGCTAGGGGAATACTTTGAAATGAACGCAACCGACAAAGTCGGAACTTGAACTCAGCCCCCTGATTGCACTTTCCATGTTAATAAACTTTTCGCTAGCCGCACAACCCTGCTTTACGTACTACGATTTTAGTAAAGGAAAGCGAGAAGAAAGTACTAACTATCAATAATAATAAGAGAGAATCTATGTTCGGTTTGGTTTAGTTTGGTTTTCTTGGTTTTACGGCATATCAACGCCTCAATGGGTTATTTAATGCCGACAAGATCTTTTATTGCTGGTAATATTCTTCTTCAAAAATGTATTGTTGGTAATATTTTTTTACAAAGGATTTCTTGTATTAAAATTTTTTACACTTTTATAGGTGGGTTAACTATTAGATGGGACCTTAACAGGTGCTGCCACCACGAGTCAGGGTGGACCTGGGAACACCAGCAATTAAGTGGTAGTTCCACGCTCCTCTAAGCCTCCTCATCAGAGGCCTTGCTGTTGGACCTAGTTTATCGTCTTACCCAGGATGCGGATGTAGTTTATCGTCTTACCCAGGACGCGGATGTAGTTCATCGTCATACCCAGGACGTTAGCAGAGGCGGGCAGGCCAAGATGTAAGTTACAAACTGGAAATTTTAAGTTTAAATACCTGGGAAATATTATAATAGTCGACGGAAAATATGATGTTGAAATCCGAAAAGAATTTTGAAGAAAATAAATATTACCAGCATTACATTTTTGAAGAAAAAATATTACCAACAATAAAAATTTTGTCGGCATTAAATAACCCATTGAGGTTGATATGTCGTAAAACAAACCAAACCAAATCAATATATACTGAGATAGATAGATAGATAGATAGATAGATAGATAGATAGATGAAAAATATTACCGGCAATAAAAATCTTGTCGGCATTAAATAACCCATTGAGGTTAATATACCGTGAAACAAACAAAGCCAAACCGAAATATACTGAGATAGATAGATAGATAGATCGATAGATAGATAGATAGATAGATAGATAGATAGATAGATAGATAGATAGATATGAAGAGAGCCATAGCGACAGATATGAAAAGACCAAGATAAAAATCTTGTCGGCATTAAATAACCCATTGAGGTGTTGACATGCCGTAAAACCAACTAAACCATGAACTAGATTAGCAGCTAAGTCCCATGATTACACTTGTAAATTGCTAGATATAAGCGTAAGTTCTATACTTATAGTTTTATTCTCTCGCACCTCTCACCTGTGTAACTCTCTTCAAGGTTCTTGCTTTGCAATTAAGAAAGAATTAAATGCAACCTCTTTTGTCTTCCGGCTTTTTGGATTCGTGTCTTTTAAATACGCTTTCTCCTCGGTAACGTTTTCTCAACTTCCTCCACTCAGTTGTCATTCATCGTCAGTAACCCCCTTGCGTCTTAGTGTCTTCATCCTTTTACTGTCAGTGGTGGAAATCTCTTGTCAAGATAGAGCATAGGAGATGCCGTCAGATGGGGGCGGTGAAAAGGAACCAACCATTTTCCCAGTATATTTAGCGTTTCAAAGAAGAATTGCTGTACGCATTTTTCGTTTGTCTCATGAAATATGTCCTGTCCATAAAAAAATACATAAATAAAAAATAATTATACGGTTTCGTTTGTTTTGTTTTACGGCATATCAGCCTCAATGGGTTATTTAATGCCGACAAGATTTTTATTGCTGGTAATATTTTTTCTATCTATCTATCTATCTATCTATCTATCTATCTGTTTGTCTTGGTATCTTCATGTCTATCTGGGTCTCATCATATGTATCTATCTATCTATCTATCTATCTATCTATCTATCTATCTATCTATCTATCTTGGTTTCTTCATGGCTATCTGCCTCTCTTGGTCTCTTATCTATCTATCTATCTATCTATCTATCTATCTATCTATCTATCTGTCTGTCTGTCTGTCTGTCTGTCTATGTCTATGTCTGTCTGTCTTGGTCTCTTCATGTATATCCGTCTCTCTTGGTCTCATTATCTATCTATCTATCTATCTATCTATCTATCTATCTATCTATCTATCGATTTAATGCGGACAAGATTTTTATTACTAGTAATCTTTTTTTCTACTTCAAATATGTATTGCTGGCAATATATTTTTTTCAAAATGAATGTATTGCTGGCAATATATTTTATTCTCAAAAAATATATTGCTGGTAATAATTTTTTTTTCAAAAATATACTGCTGGTAATAATGTATTGCTGGTAATAATTTTTTCCTTCAAACATGCAGAGCCGTTAATATTTTTTTTATGTATTGCTGGTAATATTTTTTTATAAAAAATATTTGCTGGTAATAATTTTTCCATCAAATATCCATTGCTGGCAATAATTTTTGCAAAAATGTATTGCTGGTATTTTTTTTAAATGTATTGCAGGTAATATTTTCTTCAAAAATGCACTGCTGGTAATAATGTATATCTGGTAAAAAATTTTTCTTCAAAAATTCATTGCTGGTATGTTTTTCAAAAATGCACTGCTGGTAATAATGTATTGCTGGTAATATTTTTTCCTTCAAAAATGCATTGCTGCTCATAATTTTTTACAAAAATATATTGCTGGTATTAAAACCTATTTTTATGCCTTCTTGATGTTTTGACCACAGTTTGGTGTTAACTATTTGCCCTTAGCTGGGACCCTAAATGGTGCTACCACTCAAGGTAGACCCGGGAATACCAGCAATTAATAGGTGGTTCCACGCTCCTCAAAACCTCCTGAGCAGAGACATTGCTGCTGGATGTAGTTTATCGTCTTACCCAGGACGCGGATGTAGTTTATCGTCATACCAAGGACCGAATAAGTATACTGCCACTGCGCCGTGTCCATAAAAAAAATAAATAAAAATTATAGAGTCAAAATTAATTATAATAAAATAATTATAACAATTATAATTATCATTAACTTTCTCATTCTAAACCAATGAGAATCGACCCAAAATTTCTTTCTCCTCTACGCATGCAAACAAGTGAAATTCTTACTATTGGACAAGCAGTTCGTACAGACAGGCCATGAGCACTTGCGTCAATGAAAATTTCATCTCCCTTTGCTTTTTGAAGTCATAATAGTAATATTTATCTAATAGCACTCAACAAAAATTCGATGTAAAAAAACCCGAGACAATTCTTGTAATTTGTAACTAAATTATCTGGACACTCATTATACACATCTATATATAAAAAAAAAATTACTGTCTCTTGTTTCTTCAACACATAATAATGAGATAACAAATAATACTCGTTTTGTTGTTTCTCATTTTCCATGAGTATTTTTATATATACAAATATTAGGAAAATTATAATTATTTACTCAGAGTTATAGCTCCCCTACAAAATGAACACAAGGGTACTTTTGTGATGCCAACGAACACTCGTTGCCACTTTTGTAATATCAAGAAATACTCGTTCTCACTTTCGTTGTAGTAGAGACTTTGTAATCGCAGATACAACTATAGTAACGCCGTTGAACAATACTGGTGTCAGCCGCCTTCGAATATCACTCGCACTAATAGTACTTGCTCGATAATACTCGTTCGAATAGTAATCACCGTATAGTGATTCGAATAGAGAAATAGTATAACCAGTTCTAACCAGTCCAGGGATTGAACTCACAATTATCAAATTCACGAACCATAGCTTTTAATGCACATGCAAAAGTATCTTCTTTGTGCCATGCCCGTTCCTATTCTTCTTCTATATTGCCGTGTCCCTTCAAGACGTAATCGATCATGGCTCTTCACAACGTCCTATCTTTTGGGGTTCTTAGCAAGGTTTGTCTTTTCACCATGCTTTCCAGTTCTATCATCCATAATCTCGTTAGGTTGGTTACTCGCTGATTTCATTTGTCATTCTTGGTTTCATAATATCCTAAGTGTGTCAAATTCCCCGAGCCTTCTTTCCTCATTATGTGCTCTAGAAATTTTTTTTTTTCGTTTTTCCTAAGTATAAGTTTCATTTTTCTTTCCATTTTCCTGAAAACTTTCTTGTTAAACACATGTTCAGCCCATGCTTTTCTCAGCATCCTTCGGTAGAATAACGTTTCTGTTACCTCGAGTCTCTTCTTCATCTGTAAGGACATTGTCCAATATATTCCGTGATATAGGAGGATTTGATATTACATAACAGTTCAGGACTCTTAGTTTCTAACGAAATTTTCTTCTTTCATAAAAGTTTGCTAAGCTTTTGGAGGACGACAAATAATCTATTTGTTCAATAACGTCATAAAACCACAAATTATGAACACAAATAAGTGGGTTATAGATTTGATTGGGTACAAGCAGATATTTTCGTTCCAAATTTTGGGGTTTTGGGGGAGGCTGTACATGTATCCGTAGAGGTTTGCCTCTGAAGACTCGATATTGTTTGATCATATTAAAATAATAACGTGATAACACAATAAAAAAAAGTTTAATTACTTTCCGTATTTTTATTATTGACTAGCAGGAGATGTAACAGTAAGAGATAGATCAAGTATCGACCATCATAAAAACTGGAAAATAAAATTGACAAAGATTATTGTTTAAGGTTGACGGACAAGCATGTCTTAATTAGTTTTTTTTTTTTAAAAAAAAACATTATTATTATTTATTATAAACAATTGTCTTGTAAATGGAATTTTTAAAGCATTCTGAATGTAAAAATAAAGAAAAAAGTGTGCAAGACAATAAGAAACACTACCTGCCAAAAAAAGTGAAGTTTTGTTGAAATCGGTTGAAAAATGTAGGAAATCCGATTCCATATATAAACGAACACACACACAAAGAACATGGGTTTTATAATAAGTATAACTCGATATGAGTTGTCCCCCTTTCATTCTGGTGACAGAATCGTGTTTTATCATGTTTTCAAATTGATTTCGTGCAAAAACGATTGTGATTTTCCAATTTTTGGCGCTGTCAGAACCCCCGCATGGTAATTTTACGTAGTCCTGTGAAGTTTTGTTGAAATCGGTTGAAAAATTTAGGAAATCCGATCCAATATATAAACGTACACACACACACACACACACACACACACACACACACACACACACACACACACACACACACACACAAACAAACAATCTGCGTTTTATAATAAGTAAGATTTTGACTAATTTCTTACCACGACGACCTCTATCTAATCACTGGGAGACTAAATTAACTTTGACATACAAAAATGAGAGAATCGACAAGAACAGACAGACCCAGGTTTGATGAGTGACGCAACCATTTCCACTCGGAGATGAATTTTGCCATTCCACGGACCTTTTTTTTTACAAGTTATCCTTAGTATACAGTCTCTCTCTTTCTCTATCTCTATTTATTTCTTTTTTTTTAATATGTATTGGCATCTGGCGAAGTTACCTTCAAACGACTCGACACTCTTCGATCCAAAAATGGCCTCCTGTATCAAAATTGGAAACAGCCCGTTTTGGCTACAGGACCGGCTTTCCTGGTGATGTTCGATCCTATTAACGCATTAACAAGGTAACACATCACAACTTATACACATAAAGAAGCTAATGCGTTATGCATTTGACTGGGTACGAACCGTTAAACCAATTAGATCAAGTTTCTTCCCATTTCCGGTCGCAGCAGGGAATGTGAATTTGATTCTAAAGTAAATTTCCCGCCCCGTCAGCGCGACGTAAATATTTTTTCGCAATTTCTTCAGACGCCCATTAAATTACATTGTGTTTATTGCTGCTCTGCATAATCAGTGCTTCCATCGACATTTTTGCTTGGATGACGTCAATCCTCATTGGGGCTTTCTGCTAGTATAAGTATTCATTTGCCCCAAACGCAGTATTTGATAAAGGGTCATTATTATGGAGGAGAAAAGTCATTTCACTTAAGATTCTATTTAAAATCTAGTCATCCATAAACTGTTCGATTACAACCGCACACATCAGGGAATTCCCTTTATGCAACACAGCTTTCCTTAAAACGCAACGTCACAAGCCTATCGCTGTTTTCCTGTAAAATGTTCAGATGTGCTCCATTCTTTAGGTCGACTAATTCAGAAGGCTATAGCTAGGAAACGTCTACCA